CTCCTTTTCCCCTTTGCGAATCGATAGAACGACGAAACGTTCGCCTGAAACGGACACGAGGCACCGAAATTCCCCATTAAATCGAGTAACGAAATATCGTCTGATCGTTTATGCGACCGTTGTACAGTTCCGTCTGTTAATTAATTGGTTTACACTAGCCAGTCTTTGTGGAGTTTGAGAAGTTCGTCATTGGGCAAATATTCCGGCTGGAACGCTGAGTAAATTGGGGAATGTGATTGTTAAGTAGTTACGTCCTTATGCAGTCAGACGCGGAGGGGACTTGGACAGTGTTGAATATCTCTACTGTGACTGACTCGCACTACTGACAACTCGTGTCAGAGGTTCAGCGCGAGTAATTTACGTATTGTTTCTGCGAATGTACAGACTAACAGTGGTAACAATTCAAATAGTATCTTTAATTAGATATGTCATCTTTCGATTGCATTTCGTATGTTGTCATGGAATATCGACAAATTTTCACAACTGCTTGTTGGTATCGTGTGAAGGGTGTTTTAGAGCTGTATACACATTTAAAGAAATTAAATCCAAATAATTGCATTATAAATTTTTTTCTTTGCTATTCAATATACGTGTACTACAGCAAATTTGTGGTTTTTGACTGTTATGCCTGACAATTTATGATAGTACGAAATTTAACACCTGATATCAACCTCCTAATTTCAACGACGTTTCATTTGCATAGACCTAATATTAATTTCACACGTGACAGTAAGAGGCATCTTTTGTCCAATAATCGTACGATCAACCTTACTTCGTTTTTCACTAATAAAGCTCAAAATATACCGGATGAATGAATCAAATCCAGCTGAAGCAACCCTTTGTTTATAATTTCTAATAAAAATAAACTACGTAGAACATCGAAGTAGCAAAAAGAATATCAATCACATCCTTTCATAGCACTCTATCAAAATACTAACAAAATCCGAACGAAAATAATTCTCTGAAAATTGCAATCTCCAGCAATCGAGTCGAACGTCAGCAATTCCCGCGTTTCGCGCGAAAAAACGGAAAAGCAATCGAGAAATTTCACATTTGCCTTGTACACTGGGAAACACCGTGCATCAACTGCTGCAATCACACTGTTCGTTTCTGTAAAACAGCAGCCGCGCACTAATCAAACAGGGTGCTCCGGTCTTTCGAGCGGTGGCACCGCGTTTTCTCGTTATATCTCGTCTGTGTAAGCCGCGTTTCACGCGACCTCGCGCGCGAATCGACACATGTCGCGGCCGCGGTGGCCCGCTGTCACGAAGGAGCCGCGGTACAATGCCAGAAGAAACATTAACGGGCAGTCATATCCGGCGGAACATTCCGTCACGCCCAGCATTCTCTGTCGCAAGGTTAATTCTCCCTGCGTCACGTTCGTCTCTCTTCCCCTCTCTCTCTCTCTCTATCTGCCTCTTCGCAGGCGAACAATGCCAACCCCTTCTTCGACCCCCCTGATTCCCTCCTTTCGTTGTGTTCTCCGTCGCTCGAAGCTGTACCTGTGCCGCCAGACGAGACGATAAGAGAAGGAACAAAGGCTGCGACGGACCTTGAACCAAAGCAGACCTTGCTTCGACGGTTTCAGCTACTGTTTGACGAGCGTCGAGACTGGATTGTTAATATTTTAGAGAAAGAACGTCTGTGATGGCTATTGGATTTCACGTGTTGGAAAGTAGTGTGGTAGGTGATGATTGAGAGGGAGGAATTGGATCATTTTTTCCCTTTATTACTATTGCGTCTACTCGTGGTTGATCTTACGATCGCTCGAGTTTTGCTGCATTTGCACGCGGTGTGCCGACTAAGTTAAACTAATTACTCGAAGGAACACTTCCGTGTTTCGTAAGACAAAAATGACTACCGGTTTCTGAAGAACTATTTCGCACGGTGATCTAGAGGATTCTGCTGATCGGGGAACCGGAGAATCTTCAAGATACCTCGGATACGATGCATTCGGCGGGGGTGAGACACGCGGATTGGTCAACTACACTTTTTCGAACTAGACAAGGGAGGTGGTTGACTCTGCGCGATTGGCAAATTACTAGGCACGGAAAGTAACTAAAGTGACGCCCTCAGGTCGACGGTCACTCTCAAGTGCCTTTGCACCCTTGAGTAACGCACACGGAAACTCCGCGTGTCTCGAACTATAGACGCAGCAGGTAACATCTCTGGGCAGCGTTTCGACGCTGATAAAGCATGGTGAAATAGAAATCAAAAGGACTGGGGACGCTAAAGTATGGCAAGCAGATGTGAACAATAGCCATAGAAAGAGCATGGAAATTTGCAGTGAAAGTAAAGTGCTTGATGGCCTCCCAAGTTTATGACCGCTGCGAAAGACCGAGGAATTTCCAGACCCGCATCTGGAAACGTAATAATCTAAACGACTTAACACAAGTCTACGACAAAAAGCCTCGTGCCTTTTTCGGGGTTCGCTTAATAGCCCCCTTTTCCTTGGGGAAAGGCAAATAATTTGTCAAAACACTTCTCTTGCACTCAAGGACGAAAAAAGCCAGAGATGTTTGGGAACTTAGGCCAGGCCTAAATAGGTACGTAGGCCCCCGTGGCAGTCGCCACAACGTACCAAAACTATCACTGCATACGAACCACAAGTCGTATGGCGATGCAACTTGACTGGATGATAGATAAAGCTATCGCCTTCACATTGCAATCGAAGAAAGAGTAGCAGCGTTAGCGAGTTAAGAGAAACAAATCCATTCCGCGAACTTTTTGTCCACACCACGTATATTTTACAAGGTATAAAGTACAACTATATGTGGAATTAAAAATATAGATAGATGTTTATTAACAAAATATATGAATAACTATAATATATTTGACTTTGACCCACGCTTCTACTATTCACACCTCTCGACTTTTCCAAGAACACTGCCCTTCCATCCCTCGCACGCCATACTTTATAGCCAGCCCCTTCGTGGACCTCTCGTCGCTCGCTTTCTATTTTATGCTCGCCACATTTTCTTAAAACTACGCTTTTCTAAAATTACGATACTACATAGGCGTGTGACGGGTACGTCACTGCCAATAAGCCCTTACCGAACTTTGTTCTATTCTTCCACGCGAACTTTCTCTATTCCAACTGCTTCAAATTTTAGTTTCCGTTCTTTTGTCTCTCTCCGGGTTAAGACTTGCCTTCGTCCTCGAGTAGCCTAAGAAACGCACATGTGGCATCCAGGTTCTCACGAGGACGAACGGCCCCTCTTTCTCCACTTCTATCTTTATCTATCTCTACTCCTATCTCCCTGTCCTAACAATATAAAAACCCAGTACGCCTACACCTCCGGCCAGTTTTTCCTTTACCAGCCATCGAGAAGTACCCGCCGAACCGCTGCCGCCGGGACAGTTAGCGAATGAAACAATTGTATTTTCCGGGCGAATTGTACGCCGACCATCGCATTTAGATTTTAATAAATTGAGGTGAAAACAGTGCAACGGCGTTTCTCACCCACTTCAGGTTTGTACTTTACAAAAGATGCTGTGTGTCCATATGTTTATACTCTATGAAAGCAGTTGTGTCTGAGAAAGAATGATGTTTCTATCGAGGTAAATTATACTAAATTCCGATTGGTGGAAATGTTTTGTGAGGAGTGGTTACCTTTAAATTTTGGTTGGTTGCTGTAGAGCTGCCCTTTTGCCTAGGAGAGGGTAAAAAAGCGTAGAAGGTGGAAAATTATGAGTTAGTTTTTCCGTTGCCTTCCTATGACGCATCTGACAAACTGAAGTGTGCATGCGATAGACTACGCTCGAGGGCTTAGGTTGTAAATTTTGTCTAAAAGCTGAAGGGTTCAAGTGACTCTCCTTTTGAGTCTAGCGCACGCGATGTTTTAAGGATGCCATAAAATAATCCGTTAACCGTGACGAATATTCGGCAAAAGGATGTATTGTTCACGACGGGACAATTTGTTGTGCACAGAAGAATAGCGGCTTGTTTGAGGAGTTTGTTGAAAATTGACGGGGTATCTAATTGGTTGGGTATGGGAACACGTGAAAATTAAATTGAAGATTCATCGTATAATGCAAGCAATCAGATTTTAATGTTAAAAGCTCGGAGGATCACAAAGTGCTCGCTAGCGTTTAAATCCAAGTTTAATGCGGCCTGTGTGTGCGCATTTATTTTAATCTACATTGCAACGAGCCCTTCCATTTTCGTTAATGAGTTTTAAAAAGGTTATCAAAAGTCCAGTGGTCTTCAAACATTCACTGAAATCTCCATTGAAAATCTGCAAAGAACATTTCTGTGATCTATAGCAAACAAATGTTTTCGTCTGTGAAATTTTCCCTATAGATCTGCCTGCTGTGTCTCACTTAGGACATAAAAGAGTTCCTTTAACTGAAACTTAATTATAAATTCTTCAACTTAAAATTTAACCACAAATTCCTACCTTCTGCCACAATATCCATATCACGAAGCGTTGTACCATTAACATCAACAATACCTATCTAGTGAAAAAACTCTGTTGCACCGTAAATTAATGAAGGATTTCTCAACATAAAAAAGAATATAATTACTGCAAATCTTGATCGGAACAAGAGGTAGGTCTTCGGATCTTTTTTGACCCACCGCCTTTTTATATTTTTAGCAATTTTTGCTGTTATCAAGTTTGCGTTCCTTAACATTATTTTAAACGTTTATTGTCTAGGATCATATGTCGCGTTAGAAACAAGAATTATTACACATAAGGTCTTATGTTATTTTTGACCCAAAAGTCTTAAGTGTACAGTTATTAAAACGAAAAACGTATTCAGAATAGGCTCACAATAGGTCACACGAAACTCGCACATTCGTATGTATCTACTCTCTGAAACGAACCTTCCAATTTCTGATGTACGCAATTGCCAAATAACTCCGAAGCACATTCTTTTGATCTTCCCTAAGTGTGAAGCTTTTAGCAAGCAGTTAAAAAGAAAAAAATACACATCTATATATTATCTACCTTTGTGGAATAAAAATACGCTAAAGATATCGTTTTCTCTGTGCAGGAATGGCGGAGAGCGACAGAAGGCATCCGGTACTGTTGTACATCCACGGTGAGAGCTACGATTGGGGTAGCGGAAACCCGTACGATGGCAGCGTGTTGGCCAGCTACACCGACCAAGTGATCGTGACGATGAACTACCGGTTGGGCGTGCTCGGCTTCCTGAACGCCAACGTGGCGCCTCAGACCAAGGCGAGGGTCGCGAATTACGGGCTGATGGATCAGATCGCAGCTTTGCACTGGGTCAAAGAGCACATTGCCCTGTTTGGCGGCGATCCCAACAACGTGACGCTGATGGGTCAGGGGACAGGCGCGGCATGCGTTCATTTTCTCGCCATCAGCCCGACAGTAGTCCGTGGTGAGTTCCTTTTTAATCGATAAGAATATGGTTAGGTTGCTTTTTGGAAAGATCTCCCGATCGAGTTTTTAAGTGTTGAATTGTTTCTAAGAACACCCTGTAGAAATAATCGAGCGAGGACAAAAATGTCTCGACGTTCTTTTGGACAAAGACACTAGGACTTCCACCAGATGTGTCTGGTGTTCGTCTTCGTGTCAAGCACTGCACACTGCGATACAATAGGATAAACAGTTCATGGGTATAAGCGGACCCCAGTTTTCTCTTTTTGGGTGTCCAGAGACAGCTCCATTGAACATTTCAAACAGTAAAGACGTTTCTTCAGAGTCGCAGAATAAATGCAAAGACAATTTTATTTCAATCACCCATATCCAATATTAAGCATTCGAATGAGAAAACTGGAAGTGTTAATGTTGAGAATTACCTTCGTATTCAACCCTTTGCACTTGAAGTATATTTTGATACGATCGACCAGCAGTTCTAGCACACTTTTGCAGTGAAGTTTTCGATAATCCAGTTTTGTTTTGAAAAGAAACAATTTCAATATTTATGACTTTACTTATTTTTATTTGTTTTGTTATTTGCTTTACTTTGAGAACACAAGGAAAACTTGAAATTTTCATTTTAAATTAACGTGTCGCCGTAGCAGAGCTAGTGGAGTGCAAAAGGTTAATTCTTGTCGAAAGAAGAGGGAATAATTGTGAAAAATGTACGAAATATTTTTGTGAAAAATATTTTTCTCCAGAAAAAATCCAAAGGGCTGCAGAAGAAATTAGATTCGTTAAAAGTAGCTTTCGTTTCGTTACTTCTCCCTTGAGCTAGATGTGCGTTCAATGGATGGTAAATTTTCACGTGAAACTTCTGGATTTTGTCGTGCAACACGATAAAAATCGGGCTTCCCATTCAACGTTAAGGAGACCAAGTTATTTTCAAATGTTCCTCGTGGTTCTATCTTTATTTCGTTCGCAAAATTCATTCATGCGTGCAGATCGTACGGTTGAAACAATCAAGAATTCGATGACAGAACGACGAAGTTACCCGTCGAACGTGACCGAAGAATCGAGAGAAATCGTTATACCATAAGTAACGAGACACCGCATCGGCTGCGCCGTGCCTCTTCTTTTTCAATGGATGAATCCAATACTCCTTCGTGATTCCTTCGATCGTGAAGCGGGCCGCTAACGAGACTCTCGAGAAGAATTCGCAAGGAAACGAGCTTATGTGTGTCGAACGGCTTTCTGGTCGACGTCGTAGCTTGGACGTTCCTTGAGACGCGGTATCAGAGATCGATTGGTAGACTGATTGCTCGTGCTTCTTCATAGATTAGAAGGCAAAATAGCGAGGTGTGTCGATATGCTCTTAAAATATCATTTAAAAATAATTTCAGTTCAAAAGTGTGCAGTAATACTATGGAAATATAGAAGAATGATTACGTATTGAGTTTGAAAGTAGTTAAGTGGGAAAAAAGTCAGACGTACAGGGCGTACGTAAACTGTCTGATCAATCACTCTCTCGTACTACTTATTTTTCTTTAACCCTTTGAGTGTTAACCCTTTGAGACACCATGAGTGTCTCGCGTTTTTCGAGCTCCCAGTGTGTCCGTGTAAAATCTTAAAGGCCTTGTTCTTTATTTTAAAATAAATCCAGTAATAAATCTTCACTTTGAGTTGTTGAGGCGACGCGCTTACAAATAGTGGATGCCGGATATAACCGGCGCTAGTCGCGAAAGGGTTAAAGTAGCGTCTACGAGCACTTGTAACAAGGTAATAATTTACAATTGGGTTGTTAATTAAACTAAAACTAATTTTACGACATTTTATACATTAATTGCAAATTATAACAATGAAAAATTGTTCAAAAATGTATAACATACGACATACCTGTTATTTATAGTCTATCGAACTCGTACTGTGATTTTCCAAAGGAGCACGAAATATTTAGGACTAGAAAACTTAGAAAACTTAAATGAAGTAACAAGAGCTTCAAAGGTTCAAATGCAGAGATTCCTATCTGCCACCAGGTTGTCCAGAATTGCTCGAGTTTCGTAAAGTCCCAAATTATTTTTTAATCGAAGAAAATTTCTCAGGCTTAATTCTTCCCTCACCCTCGATAAATTCTTCGTCCAACTTGACCACCCTGATGCAACCCGACCTCTTGGATCATACCCAAGGCTCGAAGTAATTAATTCCACTAGGAAAATCGAAGGTTAAACCATCGCTCGCATTCCTATTGGGAATGTACTCTTCTAGCATTCAATGCACACCTTCCAAACTCTTCGAGAAGTATCTACACAAAAAAGTGTTAAAAAAATTTCAGAATTCCTGAAAACACTTTTAGAGGCTACCATAATTAGAAAAAAATTCTTCAAACCCTCCAGAGAGGTCCTCGAGACTCTAAACCTCACACAAAATAGTGCTAAAAAAATGATTTCCAAACTCCATCAGGTGTACTTGCACCAAAAATAAAAGAGTTTAAAGAATCCTTAAAACATTTCTAGATTACCATAATTAGAAAACAAATTCTTCGAAACTCTGCAGATTCCCCGATCCTCGTTAAAAGGTGGTAAAGGAACATTGCAAACTCTCGATGTGTATCTGCACCGAAAAAGAGACACGAAAATCCCTCCCCTCGAGACACTCCAAAAAAAAAAGGGTGAAAAAATGAGATTCTCGGAGACAAGTGTGCGAAGACAAGCAACATTATCTCAATCTCCCTCTGTTTCTTCTTCATCTCGCCAATTTCCATCGTGGAAATCGTCTCTTCTTTCTCATTTCACGTTCTTCCTTCGCCAGAACTCATAAGATACTCCAGAAATTGTCACGAAGGATAAAACCGTACAAAAGACAGAGGGGAGAGCAGCAGAAAGGCGGGACGGGGGATTTTGCACGATATTATGCGCGTGAAATATCATCGTTCAGCCCCGATGGTCACGGAACGGTCGACCATTGGAAAATACTTTCCGCGTTTATGAGGCCGCGGAACGTCCGCGATCCGACTTTTCTCCCCCTGTGTTTCTTTCCCTCGTTCTTCCCTCTCGTTTCTTGTCCGAGGCGAAAGGGTACCAGTCAGCCTGTCAGCCTGGAATTTCTCGCTTAGCCCCGACCGATTCCCGGCCGATATTACGGCTACGTCGATGAAGCTTCCCAGATACAGAGCTTGCTCGAAATTGCTCGTATAAATCTGTCTTGATAAATTGTCGGCCGCAAAGGGAGCCAAAGCAGGTGGAAGGAAGACGTGTATTAATTGAGGCAAACGGCTTTGGAAGTTAACGAAGCGGCTTTGTTCCCCTCGATTGGCTTGTTAGAACCGACGAATTTTGAGCTTTCGGGGGTTTTATTCCGGTTGCGATAGCGTGATCATTGTTATTGCTTAGATTACCGGGAGGAAGATGAATGTGGCGTACAATGAAATATGTGACGTGTTTTTTAACAGGAAACTTCATATTGCGTTCTCTCCTCCAATCAAACACCAATTTTGCTAGAATTTCATTTCTGTACCCCAAAAAGATATTGCACATTCTATACATTTTTCAGACGAACGGAATATTTTCACAAGTCACTACAAATACGATATTTTATCGTTTCGATTTTTCGACAATATTCCTGATGTTATTTTGTTTTAAGGGCATCCTGAGGCATCTAAAAGTAGGTAAAAGTGTGGCAATTTTTTTCATATGTAACTTCTGAATGAAGAGTTTCAATTTTTTCAGCAGATATAAAGGTAACTTTCAGCTTTATTTTGCAATTTTTAAAAAGTAGATGTGTTAGAGAATAGAGAAGTTATTGCGACACATCTTCTGCTAGAACATCGATGGCTGGCCGGCATCGTTGGCAAGGATTGGAACGTTTAAAATAAAAAATTCTTCTTGATTCATAAATAAAAATATATTACCTGCAATGTGGCCTATTACATTTCAAATATTTTAATTATTACAAAAGTAGTGGCAATTTGAAAGGAAAAAACATTTTTACCCCAAAAAAAAAAAAGAAGAATTTTAACGTTTCG